ATTTTTCCTTTGATTTTCTGTTCTCGTTCGTTCCTTTTGTATGTTCAGCCAACTTGAAGTTCAGGAACTGACCTAGCTCCCCCCCCTTATTTCTAAATCTATAGTTTCGAACTTGTACCCTAAGCCCAGGTAACAGTAAAGTAAAGGCCCTATCACACTAGCACTTTTTCCGTCAATTTTTTGCGTTTCCGAATGAACTCCGTATGAAAATCATGTAAACAAACATGGCGCTATCGGAGTGAGGTCCCGAGAATTACACGAACATTCTCATATAGTTATATTAAAGAAATATGATGATGTATATTGTATATACGAATGTTCTAAATTATTAGCTTATGCTTACATCCATTCATCCTATCTAATTTATTAATAGCACAAGATCAACACGGAAATTAGTCAGACGGAAACAGTCGTAATCGCCTTGGTCTGATAGGCATTCCGTTTGTAGACGATCCTTGCGGAGAAAGAAATTGGCGGAAAATGTGCTAGTGTGATAGCAAAGAGTGTGGTTTCGGATGCAAGGGTCGAAAATGGACACGCTGGAGATCACACGGTATGTCGGTTCTCCACGTCTGTACAAGATCGTACCATAACGTCATCGGTATTACTATAATTTTTACACGTTATCAATGATCGCATTTATCTCAAGAATTCTGAAATAGTTAAACGTTACGAGAACTGCATCCGTTTTATATTTACTATAATCCTACCACCGCACACTTGGTATCTCAGCCGCGGTTCTGGCCGCGCCACTTGGACAAATTCTTTTCTCTCAGTCGCGCCATATAGTAATTGGAGGCTTAATCGCGCAGCCGTGAACTGGGAATTCCTTAAGTTGAAGCCAATGACTGGCTGATTGGACCAACGAACCAGCAGCTCTTACAAAAGCCGCGCATTTTTGTATCAATCTTTACGTGTAGCTGCAAAGTTTCCAATTTGGTAATCCTATAGTAATTTCAATGAAGTATCTCCAACATGCAGGATTACAACTACCATTATCTTTTACGGAAAAATCTAAGCTAAAAGTTTGCCTCACTCTGTATATTATAGCACTGCTCTTATTTTGGGCGAATACACTGACACATTTCAGTAGTGATCCTAAGCCATATATATCTCTTTGTTTTAGTACAACAAACCAATGCTTCTTGTATACACCTACGTAATTCCTTGTTCTACTTCCCTTCCAACACAGCCGCTGTGTGTGTGTGTGTGTGTGTGTGTGTGTGTGTGTGTGTGTGTGTGTGTGTGTGTGTGTGTGTGTGTGTGTGTGAGCGCTATCCTTCTTTCCGTTCAACTATTATTAACCGCCATTCCAGCCTGTCTGCATTCATGCAGAAATATGCATCTTTAAATCAAATCTGGTCTCAAAACCCGCACCGCAATACCAAGAATCCATACACATTTACTTTCATGATAGAAAGAGAATACCAATCAGTGCTTATTAATGAGATCTTTTTTAACTCGTGTGGAATGGAACGCATTTTTTCGCTCGTTGCATGATAGGTATGATGAACCAGACCCTGGGGAGGAAATGGCCGAGTTCCGAAATTCACAAAAAATCGTGAATATGTGAAACACGAATGTTGTTTGGCATTTCGTGTGGGCGCGTACTTGTGTTTGTGTCTTGTGTGTCCTGTGCTTTAAGAGAGAGAGACAGACAGAGAGAGGGGGTGGGGGTTTAAGAACATAGTGTATATCCATTTCATACTTAAAATATTGGAGTCGTGAAAAGTGAGAGATCGTTTCATGTTTCAAATTTCTATCGTTAATAGTAATCTGCCAGGAAGAACGAAGGAGTGAGGGAGGGCCAAAGACCTGACAACAGTCGTTAAACCTTTTTAACAAGCACAAACCCAAAGTTTGGAAGTACTTACCAATCACTTAGGAAAAGAAAATCACTTAGGGAAGATTTATTAAAGTGTCGTGTTATCAAAGGCTTGGGGGTTGCATCCTGAAACCGCATTTTGAAGTCCATCAAGTTATAGGGAGGGCGTGAGGTTATAAACTTTTGGTCGAGCAAAGTTAGGGAGGTAAAGTAACTAAAGTTTTGTGTGCGTCTGACTCACACCTTAGTTATTTTCCATGGCTCTTGCGAGGCAGAGGCGGGAAGAAGTGTCCATGGTTGTGCTACGCGCTGAACGGTAATTTCCGTTATTTTGAATTCAAACTCTATCTCCCTCCCCCCTCTCTCTTTCATTCTCTTTTTCCACAACCACGCAGGCGCAGGGACGTGCTCAGGAAAGTATAGGGTGCTTGACCCTTGTCCTTTTTCCTCTTCGCATCAAAATGCCTTTTTATACAAAATTAGGGGAATAAAGTACCCTCGAAATCAAGGCGTCACATTTTCAAGTGACCACCTGCTCTTTCTCGAAGTCTCTGTACATTACAGCACAATTACACAGACATCCATAAAAAAGGAAAATGACAACGCCACGACAGACGCAATGAATAAGCTGACTACATAATGAAATCGAGATGTAATTCTGACATCGGCTTCCTTCTCCGTTTTCTATGAAGCGATCGTAGCGTCTGTGCAAGTACTCGGCTCAACTGCTTGATTGATGATGCAATTATCGAGCCGATTAAATCCCAATACACATTTCAGTCGACAGATCCTCTCTATAGCGGCTAATTTGAGACTAGTGGAGGCACTAATAACAAATTATTTAAATTTTTCAACAGGATTTTGCGGTTGATTAAAAGTGCAGCCGAGCGAAATGCTTTAGTTTACGGTTTAATCAGGACACAGGCGGGTCGGCGGTGGGAATATGAGGTTCTTTTTCTTTCATTCTTTTTTTTTTTTTCTTTTTGCAAGGGTTGTATGTGTTTGCTTTCCTTTACTCTCAGAGGAGCCCATCTATTTTTAACGTTCGCTCATGTCTTCGTAAGATACGCTTTGTGTCGTTTTCGTGCTTATTTTTTATTATTCTCTCTCTCTCTTATTGTTATCATTATTTTTATCTTTATTATCATTATCATCATCATTATTATTGTTGTTAGAGATAAAGATAATTGTTATTTCTGTGAAAAATATCATTGCTATAACAAGCTTCAGTAATTGATCTAGTGATAATGGAGATAATGATAAGAACAAGAAGAATGACCAACATATGTCAATGGAAATGATGGCAATAATTGTAGAATAATCCATATCACTTTAATTTATTTTTGATAATGCTATTATACCAAAGTATTGCCGCACTGAAATCTGCTATCTGACTGATTATAATCTAAGAAATTGATATTCATCTCTGTCTGTCTCTCTCTCTCTCTCTCTCTCTCTCTCTCTCTCTCTCTCTCTCTCTCTCTCTCTCTCTCTCTCTCTCTCTCTCTCTCTCTCTCTCTCTCTCTCTCTCGCTCGCTCGCTTCTCTCTCTCTCTCTCTCTCTCCATCTCATTATCTTTCTCCGCACTTACATTTATATTTCCCCTTACATTTAAATTATCCGATATTCATCTTCTCTCTCTCTCTCTCTCTCTCTCTCTCTCTCTCTCTCTCTCCTCTCTCTCTCTCTCTCTCTCTCTCTCTCTCTCTCTCTCTCTCCTTCCCTTCCTTCTTCTCTTTCTCCCCCCCTCTCTCTATCTCTCTTCTCTCTCTCTATCTATCTTCTCTCTCTCTCTCTCTCTCTCTCTCTCTCTCTCTCTCTCTCTCTCTCTCTCTCTCTCTCTCTCTCTCTCTCTCTCTCTCTCTCTCTCTCTCTCTCTCTCTCTCTTCCCTCCCTCCCTCCCTTCTCCTTTCACTTTCTCTCTCTCTCTCATTCTCTTTCTCCAACTATTTCGTCCCCCTTTCAGTTGTATGCTCTCTCTCTCTCTCTTCTCTCTCTCTCTCTCTCTCTCTCTCTCTCTCTCTCTCTCTCTCTCTCTCTCTCTCTCTCTCCTTCCCTTTCCTCTCTCTCTCTTCCTCCCCCATCTCTCTTCTCTCTCTCTCTCTCTCTCTCTCTCTCTCTCTCTCTCTCTCTCTCTCTCTCTCTCTCTCTCTCTCTCTCTCTTTCTCTCTCTCTCTCTCTCTCCTCTCTCCTTCCCTCCTTCTCTTTCTCTCTCACTCCTTCATTCTTTCTCCGCACTATTTCTTTCCCCTTACATTTATATCATCCTATATATATTTCCTTCCCTCACCCGTACCTCACTCAGAATCATTTATTTCATCCCTCCATCATTTCACCCGTCCTCTCCATCTTTCCCATTTCCTTCCTTCTTTCTTCATGCCCTTGTTTTACGTCTCCATTTACTTTTTTATTCTCTATATCTCTTTCTCTCCATATACATATACTCGTTTCTGTGTCTTTCTTCTGTTATATTCATTTCGTCCCTTGTCTTTGTCTCCTCGTTGTCTTCTTCCTCCGTTTCAGTATTTTCCTTTCATGTGCAAAATATCGAGCTGAAAAGAAAGACCAGAATATGTTCAGAGTTTCTTTTATCTCGTGAGGATTAGCACCGAATCTCTTTAGTAATATCACTCAACACAAGAACTTCAGAACATCTCTTGTTTGATGAAGATTAGCACTGAGAATCTTATCATAATATCGATACTTCCTTGTGTCTAGTTTATTGTTTATTCTTTGTCTAGATTACCGTTTATACTTTGTGTCTATTTCCTTCTTTCTTTTTGCTTCCTTGTGTTCAGTTTTTTTCCACTTGCTTCTTTGCGTGTAGTCACATCTCTGCCTCTCTGTTTTAAGTTTCTTTACTTATCTGTCTGGTTTCTTCTTTGCAGCTTTGTGCCGCGTTTCGTCTTTGCTTCCTTGTATGTAGTTTCTTCTTTTTCCTTGTGTCGAGTTTCTCATTTCTTGCTTGTTTTTACCTTTTCTTCGCTTCTTGTGTCTAGCTGTATCTCTGTTCCTTGCGTCGAGTTTCTTGTTTATTCCTTGTGTTTGGTTTATTATTGGCTCTATGTTTAGTTTCAGTTTTACTTCCTTCTGTTTAATATCTTCTGCGGTGTGTGGCTGTGTGTTCGTGTAAGCACATGTGTGCGTGAGACACGGAGGGAAATGATGAAAATAAAACTGATATAGAAATATAATGATAAAAAAATACACACACACAACATGATAAAGGAGAATATGGGAAAACATTTAAAGTGGCATACGTTATCACATCATCCACATAAATACTATCAAACAACCGACATTTATTAGGATTTTTACTCCGGTAACAAAAAAGTCATAAATATGGCACATCTTATATCTTAAAGCTGTCTCAATAACCTTTTTCCTATAACAATAGAAAAAAAAGTTAAAAATACGTAATCATCTGTCTGCATAGAGAAAAGTAGGATATCATCTGAATGTTATCGCTTTAGATAACGTTATCAGTGCATTTGACTTCCCAGTGCGTGTAATCACGGAAATGGGATTATACGCGGAAAATTACTGAGGGTGCTGATGATGAAATTTTATCTCAAAGCATAATGATACAGAATAATGAGCACAGCTGTTGAGTAGAATCTATTACGTTACTGTACACGCCGCACTACTAATGACACGTAGTTAGAAATCTTGGAATTATGTTTAGGAATTAGCATAGTACTGTATAATGTAAATCCCAATAATAACTATGCGCCTAATGATCATTATACCGTAATAATTCATGTTAAGAATAATACTTTAAATAGCTTCTTGTTAGCTTATGTTATACTGTATACACCGCAATGATAGCAGTGTATAAAGTTTTAAGTTTGGCATCCACTATCGACCAGGAATTTGCACAAACTCAAATTCCTTCGACAGCTTCTTGGTAACTCGGAAGACCCTGGTCGTCTCTGAGGTCGTAAGGTGTACTAGGAACCACTCCACGTTTCCAGACAGCTTCCTCGCTGCAATATGAATACATACACGACCCGCTATGACACCTGCAATGCGTGCTTGGGGCGGCTCCTTCTCCTCCGCTCGTAAACGTGTGCTCTCTGGGAACCTGCAACGGAGACTGCACTCTGTTCATTCCAGAAAACTGAACAGTCATAGTTGTCCAAATGTTCTTCGGTTCTTCAGAGTGTTCAGTGGAGGATGGCGTTCCAGCTTCCCCATCTTGCTCTGATGGCAAGTGTTTCTGGTATTCTCGCCCCCAGGAAAGGCGATAGGCGGGGGGAGGGTCACTGTGCGTGCAAGGGGCAGGCACACTCGGCGAGGCGGGAGCGGAATAAGCCAGACAGATCACGGCGAAGATCGGGCACATGGTTAGGGCAACACTGCCTGGTATATTGGAAAGAAAAGAGATATTGTACTGAAAATGCTACTATTATATGACAGAAGAAGCAATATCAATAGCAACGATAACAACATAATAATGATATTGATTGTAATGGCAATAGTTAACAATAAAGATAAATAACAATAAGAATGTGACAATAAAAATAGTAATGGGAATGATAGTGGAATCCATACAATCATATATTAATTTGTCAGTTATTCGTATCTTGTATTGGCTGACAATCTATGCTATTTCCACTGCTTTTTATACAGAATTCTTATCACTACTAAAATTCTCCTAAGGTATCGTGCCTTTTACTCACCTGACATAACTGTGACGATGACCGTCGTCTGGGAAAGACCATTCTTCTTGATCAAAAACACACCTGTCACTGCTGTCATGACGGAGACCACGAAAGCGCAGATACAAATGCCTTTCTGCAAGATGTACGTGTTCTATTATTGATATTATTACAATGAAGCGGAAATTAGTATAGTGAGCAGATAGCGGATGGAAGAAATAAATGCTATATGTAAAATGATGTAAAACAGAGATGTCCAAGAATATTTCCTATAAGGGAGAGAAGGCACAAGGAATACGACGTTTTCTTACAAGTATGCGATAAAGTTTTGCCATCCTTCTTGCTTCGGAAACGTGAGTGAGACTCTTCAAGATGCATAGGATAAGACTTTCATCTCCTCTGTCCTACAAAAGTCCTTAGGTTTCTTCAAGTTTATGCTCAACGGTCCTTCGTTTTTTCTTCTTCTTTTTCAAGAATCTTCCAAGATGCTCGAGAATTTCTCGTCTTCTATCTCGATTTCACCCCCACCCTCCTCCGGTAAAAGAAAGATTAAAATGTCCACCGAAATGATAAAATATAGGGATCACCAATTGTTCAAAAAGAAGCAAATATATGAAAACCGAACAGAACACAACAAAACTGGAAACAACACAAGAGCCAAAAATGTTTGTCTGTGTTCGTATCTACACAAACGTGAACTGCACAAACTTCCTCTTTGAATTCCATTATCGCATTCGGATTCGGAAAATGAGGAAATTACACGCCCACTAGATAATATCTTGATAAGAAATGTCAAAAAGGGTGATAAGGTTATGTATGTCAAGATGTGCGCAATCGGTCACTTGCATTAGAAATATGATGAAGGAAAGAGCTCAATGTTTCGGTTAAATTTAGGTACACACACACACACACACACACACACACACACACACACACACACACACACACACACACACACACACACACACACACACACCACACACACACACACACACATTTATATTAATTATATAT